GGCGGCATCAAGGGTGTGGCCATGGTCTTGGACCATGAAGTCCAGCCCTTGACCAGAGCCCTGCCTCTCACGAGGGATTTTGCACTGAGGTTCAAAGGTTTCAAACAAAGTTTCAAAAACGGCTTGCAAGGAGTTCCAACAGTTCGCACTCGGTGGATGTTTATGTTTGTTTAGGATAATAGCAGCACATAGGAGCACCATGCAATGATATCAGGAGTATGGTGCTTGTTCGAGTTCCTCCTCTCCAAGCAACTCGAGTTGGAGCTTGTGTTTGCAACCGATGTGGGTGTAATAGGAGACGATGGCTGCACCTCCTTCGACATTGCGCTGGAGCTTGGCAAGAAGATCGAATCTTTGCAAGTCGCGAATTGCTATGCTTCAAGTGATGGGGACAGGACAGACAACTAGCGCATGACTCCCAAACACCATTCACACCAGAAGCCGCACGCTCACGGCAGATGCCTAATTAAGCCAATTTCAGCCCGCGCGCCGAAGTAGTTTTGTCGCAGGACACGTATCTTCGATTTCATCGTGTCGTCGTTGGGCAGCCTAGAGAGCATGGATGACCAAATCAGAGACCTCATGGGACAGATGCTGGAGAAAAACCTCGCGAACGTGGGCTTTGCCACAAGCAGTCTTTTACAAAGGTTGGGCCAAAATGCCAGGTCTGCAAGCGCTTCTGAAACGGTATCTTTTTGATTTTAAGAGAATCCAATGCATTTTTTCAGTAGGCACTCACAAGAAGTGTTGCTCAAAGAGAGTCCTGAGAGGGCCTCTATCCCCATGTCGCAAAATTATTTTGTACGCAAGTTTTCTTATCGGGTGCACAGAAGTTGCTGCCCAAGCAGGCGCTCTGAAAGCAGAGCTTGTACAATTATTGCATGCTTTGTGAAGCCGGCGCAGTAGCGACAAGGAACTTTAACACCGAATTCGTCGCAGCACCTGCCCGATCCTTAGCAATACCGACTTATACCTTGGCTTGCGAGTATTTCGTCGCAAATGCGCATCGCAGTCCGACAGGCACCGGTTCAGGTGTCGAGCATGAGGCACGGAAATTCAGGCGTTGGAGCAGGTGATTGCAGAGATTCAGTTGTGGGCTCACGTTCTCGTGTCTCCATAGGTGTTTGGAACGGAAGCTTGAAAGAAAAGGCTTAAACTGAAGCAAGATGTTGACTTACTTCGTCCGCTCCGTGCCAGTACTAGTGCTCCTGCTGACATTTACTACTACGTACTACTACTGGTGCAGTTCTACTACTACTACTACTACTACTACTACTACTACTACTGCTACTACTACTACTACTACTACTACGACTACTGCTACGGGAACTAGGCGCCCCCCCCTACTTGCTCTAAACCATCTTAAGAGCACATCCGTTTTA